ACGGGCTGCGGCCAGGACAAGAGGGAGTCTGTTGGCAGCCGGGAAAGTCGGAAAGAGAGGAAAAAAAAAACCATCAGGAGTTATTTCCCACTCTTTTTCTCATATTTCTCCCTCTGTTTTCCCAATTTTGATGGATCAAACAGAGTCTAAAGAGCTTTACAGTCATTGCTGCGTGACCACCGACCTGTGATGGGGGTGCCCGGGAGCTGGGCAGAGAGCGTAGACGGCTGCTCTCCGGCGGGACAAACCGGAGCGGAAGATTTTCCTCCAGGAGGTGGTGGGAGCAAGCTCAGGCCTCCGAGACCTGTGGGACGTGGTCTGGTGTTCCCGGTCACTCCTTCTTTTTTCTTCATGTTCTGAAAGAAGAGAGAGAAATTTGGGTGGTATCATGTTTAAATCCGGAGCCGGAGCGTGATTCCTCCCAGCTACAGCTCACACGGAGCCAAATTACTTTATTCTGGGATAAAAAAAATAAAATGCTGTGCTGGTGCAGCAAACGGGGTCAAACCAAGGATGGTTTTTTCCCCGAAAATCCTCACCACAAACCCACAGACCCAGCTGTGTAACTGGGAACTGTAACACACCCCCCCTGCAAATCTCTGCTCTGGGCTTCCTCCTGCACGGGGATTTCGGGGAGAAGCTGCCGCTTCCTCATATGCCACCCAAGGGAAAGGTCGGGAGCAGATTTAGCCAAAAAATTCCCTCACCGCAATGTTGAGTTTGATGGTTTGTCCCTCCTTGAAGCCCAGATCCAGTTTGGGTCCCTGCTCGGGGTTCTCGGCCTGTCTGGCCAGCTCGCTCTGCTGCCTCACCCACCTGCAGGAATTCAATGAGCAAGACACGTCAATCACCAGCCTCGGGCTCTGCCGGAACAAATCCTGCCCAAGATCCACCTGGCAGCAGCTCTTGAAAGGTGCTGGATGTGATCCGAGACCTCGCCTGTCGGAGCGACGTGCTCCGGGCAGCGCCGGGGGAACGATTCCGACCAGTAGCTGTCAGCGCTGGAGTCGCACGGATCCTCCAGCCAACGGCACATCCCACCCTGCCCCAAAGCCCCACTATCTGCCAGGAGCTGGAGCAGCATCCCAGCCCCTCAGGAGCAGCCCCTTAGTGGTGGAGAGAAGGAATTAAGGAATTTGCCCGATTTCAGACTGGGAATCCCAGAGCAGGGAAACAGGCGTTTCCAGCTCTTCACACCCGCTTGAGCATGCCAGGAGCTCACAGCTTCCTCTCCCGCATCGTTCCTGGCAGATATCTGCAAAAAAAAAATCCCAACAGTCTAGCTGAGAGGACACAGGAGAGGCACAAACTCACTTAAAATGGTCTTGGAGAGCCACGTTGAAATCAAAAGCGTCCCCTCGGTCCGCAAAGCCGACTCCAATGAAAGCTCGGCGGCCTGGGGAAGGAGGAAGAGTGAGGAAGAGTGAGGGCTGGAGTGGCAAAGCGGCAGAGGGATGGGACACCCCGTCCCACACATCCCTGTGCTTCCTTCCACCTCCTCCAGCTGGAGCTGGGACCCTGGAGACCAGGATACAGGGCTGGAGATCTCTCCGGCTGCACAAACGGCTTAGTAAAATCAGCTTTTCGATTAATTTATGCAAATCAAAGCCGAGGTTGGAATCACGGCGGCGATTCTGCACGCGGAGGGATTCCCGCGTTAACGCCGAGCAGCCAGATTTCAGCTGGTTTTTTTCCTGGGGAAGGATGGAGCACGGCTGGCGTGTGGGACTGAGATAATTCATCCCTTTGCCACCGCACACAGGGAATATTTAGCCCTTGAAAGCAAGAATCCTTCAAAAATAAGAGCAGCGAAGGTTACGGAAACGTTTCGGAGGCGATTCCCGTTCTCTGCGTACTGCAACACACCGTTGCCGTCTTCGATCCGGATGACAAAATATCTGCTGGAGTCCGTCACGCCCTCCACAGCGACCCCAGGGAACTGCTCCACTGGCGCCTGGGCGAAAAGTTCTCCTGAAAAAGAGAAACCGGAGCGGGTTAACGCCGGGGCGCAGCGTCTCCAAGTCGTCTTCATCCCTACGGAGAAACGTGGAGCTGTCGGCTTCCCTCCTCCTTACCCGAG